CAACAAATTGTGGAGTATTTAGGTCAAGGCATGGCTACAATCAAAATTGCCAAGATACTTCATCGTGATCATCGCACAGTCAAGAAGTATGTAGCTGATTCACAGCACACAAGTGTGCGTGCTGATAAAGGAAAATTGAGGACTCTTTCCAAAAGGCAATTACATCGGGTTAAAAGAGCAGCTGCAAAAATGCCTTGTCATAGCAGCAGACAAGTTTTTGAAGCTGCTGGTGCCTCCAACACCCCCCGAACAACAAGATGCAGGGTCCTTCAGAGGTTTGCAGCTGTGCGTAAGCCATCCTGTCGACTTCCTCTATCCACGGCACACAAGCAGAAACAGCTCCAGTGGGCCAAACAATACAGGAAGACTGACTTCAAAACGGTTATGTTCACCGATGAGTGTCGTGCAACGCTCGATGGTCCAGATGGATGGAGTGGAGGATGGCTGGTTGATGGACACCTCATGCAAACAAGGCTGCGGCGCCAACAAGGAGGAGGTGGAGTAATGTTTTGGGCTGGAATCATGGGGAGAGAGATTGTCGGCCCCTTTAGGATCCCTGAAGGGGTAAAGACGACATCCATAATGCAAGTGGAGTTTCTCAAACAGCACTTCCTGCCATGGTTCAAGAAGAAGAATTGTGCATTCCGCAGCAAGATCATTTTCATGCATGATAATGCACCGTCTCATGCTGCAAAGAACACATCTGCATCTCTGGCTGCTATTGGCATAAAAGGGGACAAACTTATGTTGTGGCCCCCATGCTCCCCTGACCTCAACCCCTTTGAAAACCTCTGGAGCATCATCAAAAGGAGTGTCTATGATGGCGGGAGGCAGTTCACATCTAAGCAACAGCTCTGGGAGGGTATTCTGTTCTCATGCAAAAGAAGTGAAGCAGATACCATCTAAAACCTAACAAATTCAATGGACGAGAGAGTTCAGAAGCTCCTTTCTAACAAGGGGTCCTATGTGCAAATGTAACATCACCTAGAATCAAGTTTTGACTTGAGAACTGTTTGATTTCAGTTTGTAATAACCTGCTAATGCTTATAATTTCACAAATGACCATTTTTTTTTGCTCTATAAAAATAAAAATGTTGAAAATGCTGCTGTGCATACTAATTTGGAACATGCATTTTGAGTGCATTTTGAGTGTTATATACAGTATATATTTTTAAATATACTGTTATCATTGCAGTTTGTTCAAAAACCTTTCATTTGTGCTCTAATAGTTGATGACTGGAAAATTACAATGACTGCAATTCATATAGGTACTTTTGGAAAATCTGAGAAAATATTATTTGCATAATAATTTGGAACACAGTGTAGCTCCACAGTTGCTGTTCTGTGTTGCAATAAATCTGTAGGTTAATCCTCTGCGTCCTATCAAAAAAAATCAGCTCATTACAGCAAACTTGTGGCTAAATATTTTTTAAACTACACAGTTGCTGTTCAGTGTATTTTTTCATTTTCCCTATGTAATAAATCTCCAGCAGCACTGATGTCTTCCTTGTAGTCTATCAAACACACACACACATAACCGATTTTGTGGTTAAATATTTTTTGAACTAGCTACACAGTTGCTGTTCTGTGTTATTTTAAAGTCTAGAGGCCGTCAAAGCAGCCGGCCTGGTGGACTCCAGAGTTGGCTGGCCTCCGCAAGGCAGTAAGATGTAAATGGCGAAAATACAGGTCCCAACCAAGTAAAACCAGGTGGAAACAGCATGTACAGTCCCGCAGTCACTGTAAAAGTGTTTTAAGGGAATGTAAGAGACTTTCTTGGACAAAGTTTTGTGAAGATGTTAAAGGGCCTAGCGCCTCTTCTAAGCTTTACAAACTTCTCAGAAAGGATCCAGTGAACTATCTATCCTTCATTATTCCACCAGAATGATCGACAGTCACACAGACAAGTGTGCTTCAGCATCTCCTCCAGGTGCACTTTCCTGGGGCAGAAGAGACTGAACAGCTTGTCACAGTTGCTAACTCAAATCCAACAGAGGACGACTGGAACAGAGCTGCAAGTATTGTTACTAAAAGCAAAGTAAAATGGGCAATTAATATGTTTGACCCATTCAAAGCTTGTGGTCCAGATGGTATTTTTCCAGCGCTTCTTCAAAGAGGACTGGAATTGCTTCTGGACACATTTACTAAATATATGTTGCTTGTCTAGCAAATGGCTATGTACCAGTTGGGTGGAGGACAGCAAAGGTTGTCTTTCTGCCCAAAACTGGCAAGCCAACTTATAAAGAAGCAAAATCTTTCAGACTCATCAGCTTAACAACTTTCTTGCTGAAGGGAATGGAGAGGTTAATAGATCGACATGTAAGGGATGGTATTAATGCTGTCACTTTTAAGTTCTAAACAACATGCATATCAGGAAGGTCTTTCTACAGAAACAGCCTTACATGATGTTGTTTTGAGAAAAGAACGCAGCCTGGCATGTGGACAATATGCGCTTGGCTGCTTTTTGGACATACAGGGGGCATTTGACAATGTACCTACAGAAACTAAAGAAAGAGCACTTGCCAGCAAAGGTGTGGATGAGACAACAACAAATTGGCTCATTTTCATGCTTCAGACAAGGAAAGCATCTTCAACCGTAGACCTCAGACGGGTCTGTCCACAGGATGGACGGATGGATGATTGGTACAAAGAGGATGTGATTTGAACATTTTAGAGTTTATAGTTTCTTTAAAAAATTTCATTTGGTATTTAATAAAAAAAACATTGTATTTTGAAAATTACAAATGTGTTCATTTTTACAAAACTGTCAAATATATAAAAAACACTGAATTTTAAATGTTTCTGATTCAGATTAGCAAAACCAAATATTGTTTTATGTTTAAATATCAGTTTTCTGCTATAAAAATCCTCCATACATCCTGTCCTTGTTCCTAAGTAACCTGTCCTTGTTTCTGTTCAGAGTCAGAGTGGGAACTGGAGCCTGTCTCAACAGCCTTTGGGTGAAAGCAGGGGACACCTGGACAGGTCTCCAGTCCATCACAGGGAGTCAGACAGGGACAAACAACTAACCACCCTTCCAGTCACATCAAACAGAAGACTGTTTTAAAATAGGGATGTCCCGATCAGATACTCAGTATTGATATCGGTGGCAGATATGGCCATTTTTTGAAAATCGGGTAGAATCGGATTTAGTCATGTGATCGGGCCGATCCAGTTTTCAGCCTCATCATGCTTTACAACTGCTGTTAAGAAGTCAAGACGCACACAAATGTGCAACCATGTCCACAGTGTGGGAACACTTTTCATTGGAAAATGAAGATGCTGAAACTGCATCTTGCAAAATCTGCAAACTGGATGTTTCTTGTGGTGGGAACAGCAGGGCTCAATTTAATGCTATCATGTTCACACCAAACGTGTTGCGCGCCTCCAAAAATCTCAAAACGCACGCATCTTGATGCTGGACGGACGCATTCACAGACCAGAACGAGAAGCAGCAGCAGCAGCAGCAGCGGCAGCAGCAGCAGCGGGGTGTGGGAGAAGCATCTGCCCTCGGCGGGTGAAATAAAGATAAAATAAAAGAAAATGGCTTTGATTTATTTAGTAAAGAGCAAGTGAACATTGCGCACAGCAGATAATTAACTCAACAGATGATTTAGAGGTGATTTGTTCAGTTAGTTTCACCGCTCCAGAAGCTGCCAGCTGACTAACTTTTTTTTGTCCGGACCAGCTGACCCACATCGGCACTTATATTTCCAGCCAGAAAATCCAACTGCAGATGGTCGATTTCAGGTAAAGATCTCCTGTTCGTCTGTTTCGGTTTAGTGAGCAACATTCAGGAAACTGTCACGTGGAAAAATGAGTCTCTCGGATTCAGGGTTCGTTTTCCTCCGAAAACACTGGTGTGAAAAAAAGCTACGGTTGTTAACTTCGCTCTGCGCGACATGCAGCAGGAAGGAGGGAGGAAGTGATCCTGTGACACAACGGCAAGACGTAACTTTTCTACAGCGGGAGGGGGAAAATTTGACGATTTATTCTCTCTTTACGCATTTTAAAACGCCATTTTTTTTCATTTATTTTCAGAATATTTTGAATAAATGGCCCTATAAAAATATAAAAGAAATTGTTTACCTGCCCGGTCGGGCAGGCATTGGGACACACCCACCTGCCTGACAATGGGTTTTACCTGCCCCGGGCAGTCGGGCAATAGGATTTGTCAAACCCTGCTCGGACTGGTTGATGCGACGCATCGAGCAGCAAAAGTTCAGATTTTCTAACTCACGCGGTGGACGCTTGGGACGTACCGTGCGTGCACTGCTCCAAATGTGCCAGACACGCTGCTCGGCTTCTAGACGCCCCTGGATGTACAACCACTTTGCATGTAAACCAGACGCTCCTGATGCTCAAAACGCGTTTGGTGTGAATGTATCATAATACTACCAACCTTGTCATTTCGAAAGAATTAAAAGCTATTGGATCAATATCGAAAGACTTAATCATTAAAAAAAATCGGACTGTATCGGGAGCCAAAAAATCTGGATCGGGACATCACTATTTTAAAACTGAGAACTTTGAGATTTGAGTTGTAATCACTTATTATTAACGATTTATCATATTAACCATTGTCCATTATTATTGATCATTTTTGTGAGGTGTTTTTAATTAAAGATGTAATCAGTCAGACATACCGTATATACACATATACATACATTAATTATTATTAATACTATAATTAAAGGTGAGCCATGTAAATATATGTTTGTATCAAACAAGTAATCCTTCGTCTGACTCTGTACCCCTGAAGTCGTTCTCCGGCTCAGAAAGGTGATCCCCGCTATAGTTGTTTAACTATTGTCAACAAATGTTTTACAATAACACATAATTACATTATGTCATATTTTCAAATTTCTTGTCAGCTTTACCATTTTTTAACAAAAACACGGTGGGCTGTTGGCGGGCTGCCCAACGCGGCTCTACCACCAGGCGTAGCCAGTTTTTGGGGGAAACCCAGTAAAACAAAACACCAAAGTGCTAACACTCACCATCTCTGCTTCCAGTGACGATCTCAGGAGCGCCGTCACCAATACCCAGACCACCAACTCCATCGATGCTGTTCACAATTTCTTTGTGGGCCTTAACGGTGTAAAGTGGTACATCAGGTGTTTCAAGACTCCTGTGGGTGACATACATACACATATTTACACTTTAGTCAAGTCAGTCTTTACCATATATTTCTATTATTCACCCCCAGTGAACATTAGAAATTAAAACAGCTTCAAACTACTGAAGAGAAAAAAACTGCTTTGTGTCCAACACATGAATGAAAACTTTCATTTTCCCAAACTTTACAGGATATTCCTGGAAAGACATAGACGATATGATATGAGCAGCTTTGGATGAATTATTACCATATATTGAGATTTCCATCAAAATCTCCAGTTGCGATGTGTCTTTGCTGAAGACTCGTGGCTCCAAACGTTCCACATTTTAAAGGTTTAGGTTTCTCTACCTAAAGGGTACAGGAGTAAGATTGTTAGTTTCTATCAGGTTGTGTTAAAGTCAGAGCTGCATGATAATAAAAAATGTTGGGATGGTGACAATGTTGGTAAACAATGAAATGATGACAACAGGTGCAATATGTCTATTTTGGGTCTGGTGTGAGCTGTTGCTGCAGTGAGACTCCTACTGGTTAAATATTGCTTTAATATGAAAAATACAAATTCAAAATTCTTCAAATACAGTAATAATAAAACTAAAAATAGTCAAAAATTATTCAACTCCAAGCTGTTTGTTGGAGTATGAATATTGTGCACACTGATATTGTGATGACGATATTTGCGATTTTGTGCAGCCCTGGTTGAAATGAACAAATACAGGATAATGGAGTCCAAATCATAAGCATCATGTTTGAACAGCTCCATTCCTTTATACCAGGGCCATTCAATTGGTGGTCCACGGGCCACATCTGGCCCACAAGTGACCCAGGTTCGGCCCGCCAATTGGTTCTTTCATGTCTTAAGCCCAAACCCCCAGTTTTCTACTTTAATTACTCCAAATTCTTTTAGTTAAACATAGACATGTTTGGTATCTACAGAAACATCAGAATCTTGGCTACAAGCTGGTAAAAACCAATTCTATGAACATCCAAGACAATTAAAACTACAAGCAGTTGAAAATAAAACTATGAAAGTGAAAATAAAATTGGTTTAAAAAATTGGCAAGTCAGAGATGCTAAAATATTATTTGTGGTAAATAAGAGGCATAATGTGTTACCTCTTCGGACTTTTACCTGTATAAAGAGCCTCAAAAATCCATAACTTTTGCAAAAAAATTCATACAACTCACACCCACGGGTTGGGGGGGGGGGGGGTCCGGTCCTGTCACCTGCGGACATGAAAGCGCATGCTGCGAGGGGAGCGGAAAAAGTTCAAAACTAATTTCTAGCGGCAGGACAGGTTGGAAGATGGCTGTTTTGATGTTATTTATTGTTTTTTAAATCATCCTACAGGCTCTGACATGTTAGATAAACTTGAAAAGGAGGTTTTGAAAAAATCTGTAAGACTTGAAAAAAATCCATGAGTTTGCCCTATACGTCTGTATGTCCATACGTATACCTGCAAAATGATGTAAAATCCTTATAACTTACGGACAATCCATACAAGTTGACATGTATGCAGTGTTATTTTTGTTTTTGTTGTTTTATTACCACTACTTTTATTTCCGTATGTTGTATTCATGATTAAATGCAGCAAAATTATTTACTGTTATTTAACCAGGCGAGTCCCATCGAGATCTCAGATCTCTTTTTCAAGGGAGGCCTGGGCCTGAAGGCAACCTATTATACATGTTTTTAGGGGTGGGAGAAGCCGGAGTACCTGGAGAAAACCCACGCAAACTCCACACAGAAAGACCCCAGGTCCAAACCAGGGATCAAACCCAGGACCTTCTCGCTGTGAGGCGTCGGTGCTAACCACTGAGCCGTCGTGCCATTTGAAATAAACTAATTCAAAGGTAACAGATCTTTGTAATACTTGGTTTAATTACATAAAAACTTTAATTGCTGGATGTTCGATCCCTGAGCTGTTGGCCTGTAACTGTGGCCCCAGGAGCAATTTAGTTGAATAGACCTGCTTTTTACTGTAGTAAGTATTTAACATTTCTGTATGTACAGAAACCCAGAGCTTGTGAACTTAGTTTTCATCTCAGTCACACACACATCCTTGTATTTGCATCAAACTGAGGACATTGTATTGACTTCCATTCATTTTTGTAACTGTATTTATGCCCAACCCAGACATTTTCCCTAAAATTAACCATTACTGGTCTATAGTTAACCCTAACCTGAACCAGAACTTAATTCACATCATACCTCTAAATCTAACTAGTAAAGCACAGCAGAGCTGCAAACAATGTGAGGACATTGAAAAGGTGATGCCTGTTGCCATGGATACACAAGGACTGCTTCGGCCAACCCGGTGTTGTATGATTTTCAGTTCCCCTGTGAAAATCTGTTCCCCCTGTGTTGGAAGCGCCTCCCTCTGGTCTGACGTTATGCCTGGACCAGTGATTCTCTAAGGTAAATATAATAATTTAATAGAAAATATTGAAGAAACAAATAACCTATTAAATGAAACATTTACGAAAAAAAGAACTAAACCAGGCACTTAGGATAACTAAAAATTCAGCACCTGGTCAAGATCAGATTTTATACGCAATGATAGAACATCTTAATGACTCATCCAAAGATATAATATTAGAATTTTATAATAAAATCTGGGAGGAGGTGGAGCTACCACAGAACTGGAAATAATCAGTTATTATACCAATAGCCAAACCAGGAAAAGACAATACAAAACTAGAAAACTATTGTTCAACAGCACTAACATCAAATATTTGTAAAATAATGGAAAAAATGATTAATAATAGATTAACATATTTAAATGAAAAAAGTTTTTTTTTTTATCAAGGTATCAAAGTGGTTTTCATAAAGGCAGAAATACAAACGATCCAACATTGTGTTTAGAACATGAAATCAGGAGAGCACAAGTAAATAAGGAAAGTGTATGGCAGTATTTTTTGATATAGAGAAGGCGTATGATATGTTGTGGGTGAAAGGTTTATTAATTAAATTATGTCTTTTAGGTATTAATGGGAAAATGTTTAAATGGATACAATTTTTTTTTTTTATCAAATAGAACTATACAGGTTAAAGTTGGTCAGAAAACATCCAGAAAATATCAAGTAGAAAATGGTACGCCTCAAGGGAGCATTATTAGTCCAATATTATTTTCAATAATGATAAATGACATATTTATAGATACTGAAAAAGAGATGGGTTGTTCATTATTTGCAGATGACAGAGCTTTATGGAAAAGAGGTTGGAATATAGAATATACATACGTATTACTAGGAAAATACAAAATGAAAAATGGGCGTTCAAATGGGGATTTAAGTTTTCTGTTAAAAAAACGAAAGTTATGTTATTCACACAGAAAAAAATTAGACAGGAAATAAAACTGAAGTTATATAATCAAGAATTAGAACAAGTGAAATTAATGAAAGTTTTAGGAATTTGGTTTGATGAAAAAAAATCAAATGGAATATCCATATACAAAAAAATTACAGACAAATGTAAAAAAGTATTAAATATAATGCGATGTTTAGCTGGCAGTGACAGGGGAGCATTAAAAACATTTACACTGGGCTAATATAGACTATGGAAGTGTAGTTTATGGCTCAGCAGCAAAAACCACATCTAAAGAAATTAGAAATTATTCAACACCAAGCATTAAGAATTTGTACCGGAGCATTTAAGACCACACCAACATCAGCATTAGAAGTCGGAATGGGAGAATTACTTTTAGACCTGAGAAGAACCCAAACGATGATAAACTACTGGTTAAACTTAAAAAGAAATAATCCGGATCACCCAACACTAGACATTTTAAGTGCATGCTGGGAAAAAGGAAAAAGACAGACAGGTAGTTTTGGGTGGATGATTCAAGAGGAAACAGAGAAATATCAAATACAAAATCTAACAATAAGTCCAATGTTACCGCTGTCAGTAATACCACCCTGGATTCTACCAGAAGCTACAGTTGATTTGACATTAATGGAAAAGAAAAGAGATACATCATACATTTTCAACTCACAAACAGTGCAGGATTATATAAACAGTTATTATCAGTACATTCAAATATACACAGATGCTTCAAAATCAACAGAGAAAATAGGAGTTGCATTTATAGTTCCAGAATTTCAAGTAAAAGTAGGTAAAAGAATCACTGACAACTTATCAGTTTATACGGGAGAAATGATTGCAGTATTATTAGCCATAAGGGGGTAGAAGAAGTAAAACCTACAAAAACTTTAATCTGTTCAGACTCACGTTCAGTTTTAACGAGTTTAAAAAAACAATCACTCAGACAGCAGGCCAGACATTTTACTAGAAATTAATCATACTTTATTCAGAATACAAAGGATGGGGTTAACTGTTGTTTTTCTCTGGGTACCAGCACATTTAGGGGTAAGAGGAAATAAAAAAGCAGATAAAATGGCAAAGAAAGCAGTGCAAAGTGAGATTAACATTACAATTAAGACAAGTAGATCTGAAGCAAGAAGCATAATTAAAGAAAGACTGAAGAAAGAATGGCAGAAGAGATGGAGAGAGATAACAAAGGGAGGTGGTTTTATAAGATTCAAAGGGTGGTAGGAGAAACGAGAGCTGGAAAAAGGACCAGAAAAGAAAAGAGTGATAACAAGGTTGAGATTTGGACATACAGGACTTAATTTTACACTTTTTGCAATACAAAAACATAATACAGGGAAATGTGATTACTGTGGACAAAATGAAACCATAGAACATGTTATAAAAGTATGTCAGAAGTACAAACAAGAGAGACAATTTATGATAAGACAGTTTAGAAACATTAAGGAAAGGTTTGACATAATAGACACTTTACAAAGGAATTCAGGGGGAAAACATATACAAATCATAATACGATTTTTGAAAAAAGACAAAATTGTTTAACAGAATTTGAGCTGATAGTAGTAATTTATTTTTTTATTTTTTATTTGTTTGTTTGTTTATTTATTTCCTTTGAATATATAGATTTGAAAATGTAGATACAAATACAATAATTTTAGTAGAATATAAACATTAGTGAAATCATCTTGAACCACACTCCATACCAGTCGGTAGTGGTAATGCACACCTTCAGTTTGCCAACCACCATTAAACACCAGAAGAAGAAGAAGCTTGAATTACCTCAGTGATGAGCTGAGCCTCTCCGTGCTGCACCTCATAAATCTGCATCACTCCGGTTCCTCTGGCGAAGTTCCCCAAACAGACAAACTTGGCGCTGCTGGGAATCCATTTGCTGTCAAACACGGTGTAATTTAAGCTCTTCTGAATGTGAGTGATTATCTGAGGCTTTGAAAGCGGAGAGGACATCTTTACAGAAACGTTTGTATCCATAAAACGGTACAGATATTCTGCAAAAAGAAAGAACTTCAAATGTTGTCGCGCAGTGTTTCTCTGTTGCCGTGGTTCAAGGCCCCTCCTACTACTAAGCTGCCTAAAGAAGTGCCTGACTAAATGTTCACGTCTTAAAAAAAAACATTTAAACAAAAACTCAAGTTGATACCTAAAACACATTACTCTCAAAATACTGGTTTATCAGAGTGGTTAGTGCAGTTATGACACTTATTTATTCATTTATTTATTTTACGTTTGTGCAGCAGAGTGGCTCTATTTGGGTCCTTTTTGTCGCACGAGGACATCCTGGCTCCCATCCTGGCACCTACCTCTGGGGCTAGTTTGCTTCAGTTTGTTTTAAGTCTGACTTTTTAAAATCGCCTTCGCGATGGACCCGGATAAAACCCCAAGCCTGGGTGCTGAAGCGGCCGTCGACGGTAACGATAAGGAGGAGCCGTTCAGGGAGGCGAAGAGGCCCGCAAAAAGTCAGAAACGAAAACGAGAACAGGGAGCTGACACGATGGACACGGAGGACAGCGTGTCCAACAAACGGCCGCAATTTCCACCGATTTCAGGAGACAAATTACGGGTAAAAACCGTTCGCGAGCTTGTGTTTCATGTATTGTGTTAGTGTTTTATTTACTGCATCTCGTTGCTGACCTACTTCGTCCCTTTAATTACATACTGCTCGCAATGCACAACCCTGATGGTTGATTTACCAATATGTTATTAACCTTAATAGTTTCTTTACTAATATCTATGTGCAAAGTTGTTTTTCTACACAAGTCTTAAATGTGTGTCTGAGTGTAGAGACGTGAAAATAACAAGACTCAACTTATGTCAAAAAAAATTCAAACGGTCTAATATAATTTTTTTTTGTTTGTTTTTCAGGGGCCAGATGAGATGTGTAAAGTTCCTGTTCCAGCTCACAGATACACCCCTCTTAAAGAAAACTGGCTGAAGATCTTTAGTACGATTGTGGAGAATTTACAGCTTCAAGTCAGATTTAATCTGAAAACCAGGAATGTTGAAATCAAAGTAAGTTTCTCATCTGTTCAAGCTGTTTTTTTAAAATCACCTTTTCCTTAGTTTTTATTCTTTTATTTTTTTTATTTATTTTAACTGTAAATCCATGTGTGTTTGCACTGAAATGCAGCTGCAGGTCGTTTTTTACAGCTGCCATTGTTTTGGTGAGAAAAGAAAGCACTAATGTTCCACAACTGTTTACAAGATACAGTAATATTGGGTAAAACAGGTTTTATTCAATCAGACAAATGCAGAGAATTGTTGAGAGTAAAACGTACTGGACTTTAGTTTTTATTTTTTTTGTAAACAAACTATTCTGCAGGTAGAAGTTGTGGTGTTTTCAATCATTACAGCACTGAGTCCCACTGCTTTCTATGGTTTCTTTTCTTTTCAACAATGATTTCCTGTACCAACTAATAAAGCTACAGGCTGACATGCTAAACATTTTACATTCTTGTTAAAAGTTTGAAAATACAGCTATAAATAGTAAAACCCTACCTTTGCTTTAGAGAAAAAGCAGGACATGTCTGCATGTCCCCTTGTCCTCGTCATGTTTACGTCGGGGAAAACTGATTTCCTTAGATTTCTGGAGCTTTTTTCATATATTTCTTACAAAAAAATCACTTTTCCCCCTTGCTCTTTCGTGTGCTGCATTTCCTAGCCCGACGATAGGCGTCTCAGCTGCGGTCTGGTCAGTTCGGGTCCGGACCGGTTCGGCCACCTGCTGTGCAGGAAATGAAAGATTGCGCAACAAATCCAATGATAAATGTTGAAGTCAGGACAAACTAATTCATTCTGTGGTCGATGGAGTAAACACAGCTGAAACTGTATTCGTGTTGTTTGTGAAACTTTTGATTTCAAAATAAAATCCACGTGTATCGTGTATTATATGCTGCTTGTTTTTGTCAGCCTTTTAAATGACGATACATTTTGACAGCATTTATATAAATATTTATATTTATAGCAAGGGCTTCGACAAAACTTGTCTGAATTACTTTGAAATTTCAGAAGTTGTGCTCGTTATTTTTCCTGTTTGAGCAACGTGATCTGTGCAGATTGACTCCCTAACTGATCTGGCTTTGGGCAAAATCAAAGCAGCCCCTTGTATTTACACTCACCGGCCACTTTATTAGGTACACCTGTCCAACTGCTCGTTAACACTTAATTTCTAATCAGCCAATCACATGGCGGCAACTCAGTGCATTTAGGCATGTAGACATGGTCAAGACAATCTCCTGCAGTTCAAAYYGAGCATCAGTATGGGGAAGAAAGGTGATTTGAGTGCCTTTGAACGTGGCATGGTTGTTGGTGCCAGAAGGGCTGGTCTGAGTATTTCAGAAACTGCTGATCTACTGGGATTTTCACGCACAACCATCTCTAGGGTTTACAGAGAATGGTCCGAAAAAGAAAAAACATCCAGTGAGCGGCAGTCCTGTGGGCGGAAATGCCTTGTTGATGCCAGAGGTCAGAGGAGAATGGGCAGACTGGTTCGAGCTGATAGAAAGGCAACAGTGACTCAAATAACCACCCGTTACAACCAAGGTAGGAAGAAGAGCATCTCTGAACACACAACATGTCGAACTTTGAGGCAGATGGGCTTCAGCAGCAGAAGACCACACCGGGTGCCACTCCTTTCAGCTAAGAACAGGAAACTGAGGCTACAATTTGCACAAGCTCATCGAAATTGGACAAGAGAAGATTGGAAAAACGTTGCCTGGTCTGATGAGTCTCGATTTCTGCTGCGACATTCGGATGGTAGGGTCAGAATTTGGCGTCAACAACATGAAAGCATGGATCCATCCTGCCTTGTATCAACGGTTCAGGCTGGTGGTGGTGGTGTCATGGTGTGGGGAATCTTTTCTTGGCACTCTTTGGGCCCCTTGGTACCAATTGAGCATCGTTGCAACGGCACAGCCTACCTGAGTATTGTTGCTGACCATGTCCATCCCTTTATGACCACAATGTACCCAACATCTGATGGCTACTTTCAGCAGGATAATGCGCCATGTCATAAAGCTGGAATCATCTCAGACTGGTTTCTTGAACATGACAATGAGTTCACTGTACTCAAATGGCCTCCACAGTCACCAGATCTCAATCCAATAGAGCATCTTTGGGATGTGGTGGAACGGGAGATTCGCATCATGGATGTGCAGCCGACAAATCTGCGGCAACTGTGTGATGCCATCATGTCAATATGGACCAAAATCTCTGAGGAATGCTTCCAGCACCTTGTTGAATCTATGCCACGAAGAATTGAGGCAGTTCTGAAGGCAAAAGGGGGTCCAACCTGTTACTAGCGTGGTGTACCTAATAAAGTGGCCGGTGAGTGTATATAGACGCATCCACGAGGTGTCGTAAAGCAAACCAGGGTGTCAGAAAGACACCACTACGCCCCTCTACTAAATGCCTGTGTTTATTTCTTACTGCCTTTGCACATTATCTTATCGTACAGCTCTTTGTTCCTTTGGAGGAGTTTAGAAATAAAGTGGACGGGATCGTTGACCTGCAGTGTGTCTCTCCTCCTGTCTTCCAGACATGTAAAGAAACTCAGGACATCAGCGCGCTCACGAAGGCAGCAGATTTTGTTAAAGCGTTTGTTCTTGGATTTCAGGTTGAGGTGAGTTTCTGTGAACTTGAACTCATCAGATGTTTCTGTAGGGTTTTATTTGAGGTCATCTGATGTGGTTTCGTACTAATCTTTAGTAATCAGGGCATCAGAGAGCTGATGTACCACATGTGTTTGAAGTCTTAGGTCAATATGAATTATTTATTTAGCAAATAAAACATAACTTTACATTAAACAAGCTTTAGAGGAAGTAATAGGAAATAATCAGTAAAACTTTTCTTACATTACAAACAAACTGTGGCTCCAGGTTGTAGCAGCTGCTGCAGCTTTATCTTACTGCTCTGTAAAGACATGAATGATGAAGTATTTAAAAAGTAGCTGATGTCAGTGGATGAATGTCTGTGGGCTGAATCAAGCTCTAATTTTATGCAATACCTTTGATATAAAATTAAAGTTGGATCAAGATTATTATGATGAAACTTAATTATTTTGGCTGTAAAACAAAGGCTGTTTTTTATGTCATAAAAGCAGAAGATGTATTTTTGTTGGAGGTAACCCTCAGGTCTTTTCCCAGGACGCGATGGCTCTCATCAGATTAGACGAGCTTTTCCTTGAAAGTTTTGACATCACAGACGGTAGAGTTCTTCTGTCTGGATCATTTCTTGTGTTCGTGCCCTGCAGCAGATGACCTTCATGATGCAACCTCTCATGTTTGTGCAGTAAAGCCTCTGAAGGGTGACCACCTGTCCAGAGCCATTGGAAGAATAGCAGGGAAGGGAGGAAAAACCAAATTCACCATTGAAAATGTGACGAAGACTAGGATTGTGCTCGCAGACACGTAAGTGCTCTGGTAATGCAGAGAACGAGTTCAACGTGTAAGCTTTTTGTTTCTTAGAAACACTGACTCCTATGTCGTAGCTTTGTTTTCAGCAACACACAGGAATGTGTTTTTAAACGTAGAACTAGGGCTGGGCGATAAATCGATTTAATCGATTAATTTGAATTTTCCATTTATAAAGATTTAATTTTGGGAAAATCTGGATTTTTTCCCCACCAGTGCACTCTTTAGGTCTTCTGTAGTTCAGAGGTCACCATCTGTCCCTCAAGACTCTTGGTACACGACATGACAATATGGCAGCTAGCAGAGAGGATCTACTTCCCAGAAAAGGCATGGTGTCTTCAGTTATCTGGAACTAGTTAGGTTTTGCAACCTCAGACTTGGAGCAACAAACACCTCACTGCAAAATCTGTTTGAAGGCTCCTGCTACAAAAAGCAGGAGAACAAATCTGTTTTGACTCCTGAAAAAGAGGCACTTCGTTAAGTGGGAAACAAAACCGATTAAAATCAAATTTGGGATGGAAAAAAAAAAGCTTTTGGGGGGGGGGGGGTCATATCGCGTAGCCCTATGTATAATATGAAAAACAATGACATTCTGTTGTCTTCACAGGAAAGTTCACATCTTAGGTTCCTTCCAGAATATCAAGACTGCGCGGACAGCAATATGTAACTTAATTTTAGGTAAGGTTTATTTGTGGATCAGGTCTTCCCACATCAGTGCTGAGAAATGACCTTTAACTCCTGTTTGTCCCCACAGGAAGTCCACCTTCAAAGGTTTATGGAAACATCAGAGTGGTGGCCAGCAGGACAGCAGAGAGATTCTAGACTGATTGGCTGGATTTTCTCGTTGTGGTCTGGGATTAATTATGACTGTTTTGGACTAACACCTCATCCTCTGCAATGGCCTTTTTTTTAAATCTCCAAGGTCATGTTTCTGATCAGATATGGAAAATATAAAATGCTTACCTAATGAATTGTGGGTATTAAAGCTCTGTAAATAAATACAGAAAATAACTAAAGAAGTTTAAAGTGCCAGATACTCAAACCAATATTTAGTAAAAGTTGATACTGCTAAAGGTTTTGGTCGGGCTGAGCTGTAATGGTACTGCTGCTGTTTAAAACTCAAATCCTCTGCAAGGTGGGCTTTGAAGCCACAGCTGGGTGGGAGACAAACAGAAGGCCTTTGGTATTTATCATTTCCTGGATAAATGAGAATCTGCACCAACTGAGGTGTTATTTCTATCTTTTTTTTTTATTTATTTTTTAACCAGGTAAATCCCACTGAGATGTCTTCTCATGGGGCCCTGAAGGCAGCCTAAACATGTAAACAAAGAAAACATTAAAACTTTTCAGAAAGAAGACCAACCAAGAGCCTGAAACCAGGACCTTCTTGTGAGGACTCAGTGCTAACCACAAAGCTGTCCTTTTTACCCTCTAAGAAATGTTGCATAAAAATGGTCTTTATTTTAGAAGTGTCCACAAAAAGACAGAACTACCAACTAATTCTTGATGCGCTGCAGAGTGAGTAGATGATCCATTCAGATGTTCTCTTAATATATGAAGGGTAATACATCATCTGAGTGAGCACAAGAGATCTGCACACCTGTGAGACTTGAACCTTTCACATGTGTAATGTGTCATGTCAACTCTTAGTCCTGGATCTTAAGCCTCAAAAATCCAGCAGAAGATGGTTGTTTTACTTTATTTTATGTCCTACAGCAGAGGTTCTCAAACTGGTGTCCCAGGACCCCCAGGGGTCCGTGAGAGGTATCTTGGGGGTCCNCTGACTGATTTAAATACATCTTAACATTCATGAGGTACTTTACATTGACTGTTTATGGTTGAATGTGGGCGTGTAGAGGGTAGAACCTGAGGAGGGACCTTGTGCGCAAACTCTGATGTGTGGCTGTGATYTATAAAGGATAGATGTGCAGAAACATGCATACTTACGGTTTTATAAATCTGAATTTTTTTTGGCGTACGCCATTTCCGCCTTTTGGCCGTACATTCACTTTTAGTATGGTTTCCATGCAATCCTTTATAAATGAGACCCCTGGACTTTCGTTTATGACTGATAACATTCATTTGACACCCGCTTCCTCCTGTCCAAACAGCAAAAGGTATCAACCCGAGTCTGGTATGGATAAAACTCAGACTCCTTGACTCTGTTTGAACCATGAAACTGTCAGAACTGTCAAGTTCTATGGATGTTTCCTGTGGTCCAGCAGTTTGAAGTGCATCTCAAACACTGGCCACAACTACAAGATTAATGTTTTGTAAGGAAGAGTTAGCAGCATTAGCAGCGTTAGTGATTGCTTTTGTTGCAGGTTGATGACATCACAACAAAAGCTGCACCAACAACAAAGGCTGTGTTTCATTCTGAAATACTTCAATTTAAACTTTAACATTTAGCCAGTTAAATTTACATTTAACTTGCACATTTAGATTTATACATTTTGATTCAGGATTTTATATTCAGAAAGTGAGCTAAATAATGAAAATGTTTTTTTTTACATTTTATTTTACTTTTGTTGCCCCAGAAGCCTGTGCTGTATTAAAATACAAAATAATGAAAGTGTCATATTGAGATGCTGAGAGGTATCTTGGGGGTCCTCAAAATATTTCACTAAGTTGTTAATTAAATTTTTATTTTTAAAAATGCATGGAGAACAATGAACTAATAAAACATAATAATCTTAATAAAAAATATTCCCATGGCATTTTGGGGTTGAAATGACAATAAGTTATCTTTTAAAACAGCATGGGTTTAATGAGGGGGTCCCTGGAATTTTTTTCACCCTTGTAAGGGGTCCGCAGACCCAAATGGCTTGAGAACACATCCTACAGCCTCTGAGACGTAAAATAAATTGGAAGCTGAGTTTTAGTTTTTTTTCTTTTAAATCTGAGATTTAACCCTATGTCAGTATATCTGGAAATTGGAGTAAAATCTAATTTTTGAACAATCCGTACAACTTGACGTGTTAATGCTGTGTTTAATGTTGGTGAAAAGCTGGGAAGTCTGAGCTTTACCACATTTACCGAGTTATTGGGAAAAATACATTTCTGACTTATTGCTAATAAACCCAACAGGATGTTAAAACATGCTTACATTTACATTACTAGTTTCCAGAAATGTTATATTTTGTCAGTTTTACAGCTGAAATAACTCAATAAGTAGGTTGAAAAATGATCAGAAATGTTACCAGAAAAATACATTTCCCTGATACTACCTACCACTAGAAAAATAAGTTTGAGTATTAAGTTTACCAAAATAAATATTTTCCAAAGGAAAACTGTTTTGAGTAGTTTTATTCAAATACTGTAAAGCCTAGTCTACACACACAAAAATATATATTTCTCTATAATTAGTAGTTTTGTATAGGAACACTGGTAAATGTTTCCAGTAGTTCTTGGTAAATAACCTAATTTAAGTCTAAAGTACTGCTGCTTTTAGAAGTAATTAGTCTTTGTTGGTAAAGCATTAATAAATGTTACTTTATAGAAATACAAATCATCCAGGGTTAATTGAGGCTAAAATTGTTGCTTTTAATCAATATAGTATTTATCCAATTTTCTGGGTTGCTGGTGTCCATCTCCAGATGTTTGGATCTGGGTCCTGTCCAGGGTCTCACACTTAGAGACAGTTCAGAGTTTCCAATAAACCAAACACTTTTCTGGGCTCTGGGAAAACTAAATAAAGGACAAACTAGATACATGGAGAGGGATGAAAACAGTAGCAGGGCCCTGCAACACATTAGGTTTTAAGGGTTTATGTACTTTAGGAGTTCTATTTGATTTTGAGTTTTTATAGCAGTTTTGCTGGTAAATGAATGAAAGGCTCTTGCAGCCAATCACATCTGAAAAAGAAAACAAGTCTTTCAACATTTCAAAGTTTACTTAAATTTTATTTCATTTTCATACAGTATCAAGTTTCCAACAGTCCCACAGCATAATATGCAGCATGCAGAAAAAGGGGAGGAAAAAAAAGGTTTCTCAAACTTAAATCTTTTCAGATATTCCCACACAAACTTAAAGAACCCAAGTCCCTCTGAGAAAAAAGTAGCACTTACAAACTAAAGCGGTCTGAACTATACAGAGAACAGAGAGCCAGAACTGCAATTAACAAATACTTATATACAAAAAGAAAAAAAAAAAACAAAAACAGCAAATTTCCCCTTTAAGCTGAGTACAGTGTGTGGCAGTTTGAGACAGGATCAGATATGCAACTTTGACTGGAATCGAAGCATCTTGCTGACCCGGGTAAAATACAAAAACTTACATGTAGTTCAGTTCATTTGGGTTACCTCTCATAATATGTGTACATTTACCAAAGTTTGGCAACATCCATATTGTATACCGTTAAGTTCTTAAATATATTAACATCACCATTCATGTGTAAACGAGTTTTATTTCAAAAATTGATCTACATGCACAACAAAAATAATATACTTCCATGTCATGCAAGCACAGGGAGGCCCAAGCCGTGCAGAGCTTTGGGGGTGGGGGGTTAATATAGCACTCCAGATTCAACTGAAACTTCCTATAAAAACCAGCAGTTGGCCTTCGAAGTAAAGCCAACGTCTATCTGAACGCTGTTTACAGTAGGAAGTATTTTGTCCTTGGGAAAAAAAAAGCTCAAAATTGGTTGAATTTGGATTGAATAAGACGGCTGAGAGTAAACAAGAAGGGGGAGTGGAAGCCAACTTTTGAAATGTACACGCTCTAAATAAACCCCCTAAATCTACCAAACTGCACAAGGACCATGCTGATGCGTTAAGATTTGAAGTGTGTGCACTGAAAAGTGAGCCGACACATTCAGGAGGGCTTCAGCAGAACCAGAACCTCTCATATGGGATGGATAAGATGAGCACACTGATGACCTAATACACACATACTGGGTACAAAATGCTGCCTGCAGGTAAGTCTCTTAAGCTGCTTTAGCCTTGCACAAACAGCGAGTATTTTCACAATTACTCACTCGATTCTTTTTGCCAAGTTCATCGTAACATTGAATAAAAGCCTCAGAAGGTTTTTTATTCTACTGCGAGAGCAGAGCTTGTCTTCAGTCCTGCTCACACTGCCGGACCTAAACACTTCAAGAGGCAGACTGTTTCTGTCTGAAGCCACTGGTTTCAGGTTTGGTTTTGTTTTTTTGTCTTTTCTTTATCTGTAAAGACATTTTCTTGGCATTCATTTATCTACCTAGAATTTTACGACAGGAAACAAGAATAATCTCCAACAACATAAACACATTCTTAAATATAAATAAAACTAGCAGTTTTATTACAAAAGAAAAAAAGTGTTGCTTTGTTAACCAAGAGTTGCTGGAAGCTTTACTGGTCGGTTCAAACTGCGGGCGCAAAGAGAGATGAAGAGAAAATTTTAACTATTGTTTTGTATCTAACGAGACTCGCAATCGTGCAGTTGGAAGTGTCAAACCAGTTTCTCCAAAAAAAAACCTGCGACCATGATAGATAAGCTAAAGTGGTGTGTGGATATGTTCTGGTTGGCACTTCATACCCTGCCCTTCTAGCTGTACAGCCTGTGTTCAAAACACTTCCTCTCACAAAAACTGTAGATATACTTTATTTATCTTCTTTATAAAAGACAAGAACAAAAAATAAATACCCAAAATAAACACCTAACGAAAAAGAAAGGATGAAATATGAACAAGCGAACCAGCCTCTTCACTGCACCCCCCCACCCCATCCGCCTGCCCCCCCTCGCCATAAAACCAGAGATGCTCTTACTAATAATGGATGCCCTTCAGTCTGTTACTGTGCTACGAGCAGGTTATTGAGGATTTACAGTTCAATAACACTTCAAAGTTGGCTTCACGAGGCCCGTGGTGTTTGAGAGAAAACGTGGCTCCACAGAGAGAAATAAACAAAGAGAGAATACTTCCACTGAGTTACACACACAGCGTTTTGCCTGATGTCTTTAGCAGAACTTCAGAAATTGTGGAGAAAAGCGAGTGTCGAGGGCTAGGAGGGGGAGTCAGCCGGGGGGTGCGTTCACACGTCCACCACCATCTTTTTGTGTATATCGAGACCACCAACCACCTGGAGGAGAGAGTAAAGCAGGCAGGACACACCAGTGTTACATTAGAACGCAGACAAAATTATTTCTTTTTAATTTAACACCTCTGAGCGCCTAGCCTTGCCCTTGCCTTCCTACGCAGTTCCGCTCAGTTCTAGTTTCCCTTCACTGCTCCGTCTGGGACTTCACCCACAGACAAGGATTTCTTCAGGAGCCTGCTAGGAGCTGCCTGTTAGCAAAACAACTCATGAACTTAAAAAATAATCAGTAGAACAGCTTCAGATTAATGTTTGGCATCAGCCTAATTCAAGATGGCCACCACACCTAACTGGTCATAGCCAGAAAAAAATTATAATTTAATCAATTTTACAGACGTCAGGATGAATCTCGAAATTTAACTTAACGCTGACGTCAGATCTTGAGCTCACACATGGAATGAGGAGAAGAATTTACATTTCTTCAAGGCTTTTCATCAAATCAAAAGACTGGAGCAATTGCATCAGGAAAATACATCAATCCATTTAAACCAACTTCTGTTTTCAAATCCTGATATTCACAATAAAGTGGTGAAATGACACGAGGCGGCTGAGGCAGAGTGGTTAGGGGAGTCATTCCACTAATGTGAAAGTTGGCGGTTCAATTCCCTGCTATTCCATCACATGTCAAAGTGTCCCAGTGCAAGACCCTGAACCCCCACTCCCTCTGTCCCATCAGTGTATGAATGTGATCGGCACTGATTAGTGTCTATAGGGCATTTATACATGTTAGCTTTGTAGAGATCTAGTAGAGTGCTGTGTGAATGGATAAACTATCTATGATCTGCAGACCTGTCTATGTCCTGCAGACCTATCTATGTCCTGCAGACCTATCTATGTCCTGCAGACCTATCTATGTCCTGCAGACCTATCTATGTCCTGCAGACCTGTCTATGACCTGCAGACCTGTCTATGACCTGCAGACCTGTCTATGATCTGCAGACCTGTCTATGACCTGCAGACCTGTCTATGACCTGCAGACCTGTCTA